AGCCGCTACTGTGCTAACTTTGAAAAGGGAGTGAATTTTACAAGCTCTTGTTTATTACTGTCTTTTGTTGTGTTGTACGCTCCAAAAGTCTACAGATTAACTTCAAAACAGTTTATTCTGATCGAAGTTAGTTCATATTCCAGATTTTAGTCTATTAAATTATAAGAAGTTGTGCTCTTACAACTTGATAGTTATATATATCTATCTTTGTGCACTCATTAGCTTTTTATCACTGATTTATAAAGGTTATATATATTCGAAGTCATATTAATTTTTCCCCGGTTCGTCTTAAATAACATGCCTATCAGGAGAAACCGCTGCGGAAGGGTTATGTGCCAGTTTCCAGTGGATGAGGGAATGCAGTGTGATAACTGCAAGAGATGGTTTCACAGTATGTGCACAAACCTTACTCCTGCAGCATACAAACGCTGCTGAAAACCCCTAGCAAACTGGTTGTGCAACGAATGCTGTAGCACAACTAAATTCCGTATTACAGAAGCCATTGACACTCTCAGTGGAGCTTTAAAACTCATGGACTGCGAGCGTCCCCACCACAGGAGAATACCGACTATTGCTCAGATGACGATGACGTGACTAGCGTCACTGACAAGACAGCACATGTCCCCGATGCATCCTTGCTAATAAGTGAATGCCCTTCAGCACAGAAGAACACCCACCACATTCCAGGCACCTAGGCTGCCCCTACGATACTGAATAAGCCCTCCAGCGACAGCAATTGAAAGACTACCGAAAAAGGAGGCGTACCAGGGGTCAAAAACCTGCAGTTCAAGTCGCCCAGGGACTGGTGGATCAAGCCTCATCCATACCATTGAGTAGCATGCAGATAAATCCTACTACGATTAGCGAGGAGGACGCCAGTGAATGGCGTAATGTAGTCTCTCACAAAAGGCGAGATAAGTATAACACATTGGCTACACCGCCCACGAAGGACAGAAACACGCTTACGCCGCAGAGCAAGAAAGTCACGGCAAGCAAACCTGATCTCTCTGACAGGTCTCTCATTCTCCACAAAGTGGAAGGGTCGCTGGCCCCCAATCCTAAGGCCAGATTCGAGCACGACCTTAACTTGGTTAAGCCCCTTTTAGACAAGCTACTGCCACAAACAGTATCAGGCATTACTATATACGGTGCAGACTTAAATGCATAGGCCAAGACATTGACCTCATTGCTGTGTATTGCAGTCCTGACTGCAGTGAAGATGACTTCTTAATAGAGAAGCTAGGCCCCTGGACTTCGAAATGTCGAAGTCTCGTAGTCGGCGAGTTCAACGCCCCCAACAGGTGACTGGTCGAGCCTAACAACTCCATCTTGAGTCAACTCCTTTGATCATAAACTGCTAGAATCTAGTATATCGCTAGCCCTAGTCCAACATATCATTAAGCCCACGCGCTATGACTCACAGCACTCCTCCTCAACTCTGGACCCAATGTTCTTCCATGGTGAGGATATGGATCTCATACAACATCTTCCTCCGTTAGGAAGAAGTGACCATGCTGTGCTCACTTTCAAGTTCACAGCAACAGCAGCGACGGCCAAAACCCTAGCTCGATCAAACGTTTGGAAGGCTGATATAAATGGAATCGTCTCAGCAACCGACTCAGTAAACTGGTATATCAACCCAGAGTCCCAAGTAGAAGCCACATGGAACCAATTCAAACAACTTTACGCCCAACTAACTGTACCTTTCATCCCTTGGTCTGTTCCAAAGGGTTGGAAACATTCCCCACTTGGATAAACTGAGAGATTCGTAAGTTACTCAGACGTAAACGCAAGTTTTGGAACCTGTTTGCCACACTTGAGACTTCTGAGACCAGGGAAATAAAGCTATTGCAGAAATCCGCCGATCAAGGATGAAGTTTGAGGCACACCTGGCTCAAAATGTAAAGGCACAACCTAAGAGAATTTTCTCGTACATGATTATTGACAATGATACAATCAAAGAAGATCCAGAAAAAGCAGAAGCATTGGCAAACTACTTCTCCCAAGTCTTCACTCAGGAGTCAACACTGCTCATGGGATCAGCTCTGGCTGCATCAGAAGAACATGGGATAGATTCCGTTGACATCGACCAGGGCATCGTGTTCAACTGCTTAATGAAACTAGATGCAGGTAAACCAATGGGTCCTGATAATCTTTATCCAAGGCTTCTCAAGAAGCTATCAGCCCACATAGCCGGCCCCTCGACCACAATTTTCAAGCTAGCTCTCCTAAACGGAGTGTTACCGCGTGATCGGAAAGACGCCATAGTAACCCCGATCCACAAAGGAGGATCAAGACAAAGCCCTTCAAATTACAGGCCTATCAGTCTCACCGGCACTTTAATCAAGACACTGGAAAGAATTATCAAGAAAAGCATGATGGCGTATCTGGAAAACAGAAGCTTGTTATCTAGAGCATAGCATGGCTTCCGGAGGAACCTTTCATGCCTGTCAAATCTCCTCACTGCAAGAGAAAGCTGAGTCAAATCAAAGGACAACATAAGACCCGCTGACGTTGTTTTCATAGACTTCAGTAAAGCCTTTGATAAAGTACCTTACAAAAGACTACTCATGAAATTGGAAAGTCTTGGTATCAAAGGCAGATTACTAAACTGGCTCAGGGAATTCCTCATAGATAGGAGGCAGAGGGTTAGGATCAACTCAGAACTCTCTTCTCGGAAAGCAGTACGTAGCGGAGTGCCACGAGGCACGGTACTCGGTCCTCTCCTATTTATTCTGTATATCAATGCCTCTGCTCACCGACTCCCCTATGGTCCTTAACGCAGATGACTTAAAAATTTGGAGAGAGCTGAAGGGCAACAGTGATACGTCCACATTGGAAGAGGACCTCAACAGATTGTCAGAGTGGTCCGTTGAATCGATGCTTCCGATCAATGTGGCAAAATGTGCAACCATGCGCATTGGACAATCAAGCACGAGCTCCAACGAATTAGAGGGAATAACACTTCCGTCAGTTCAGACTCACTTGGACTTAGGTGTCATAGTTAGCCAAGACTTAAAAACTACAGCACACTGTCGTGCGGTGGCTGCACGTAGTTTCAGGTCATTATGGGCAATCCGCAGAGCCTTTACTAGAATCACCAGAGATATGTTCACCTCCTTATACACATCTCTGGTGAGGTCAAGATTGGAAAACTGCATCCAGTCCTTGTCTAAAGGGGACTCAAACATTCTAGAAAGGGTTCAAAGGAAGGCAACACGTATGGTTCATGGCATGGCTAACTTACCATACGAGGAAAGGTTAGACAGTTTAAATCTCTTCTCACGGTCATACCGTAGGCAGAGAGGAGATTGAATCACAATGTTTAAAATTCTAAATAATGACTACGGACCTGACCTATTCTCTCTTTTCCTTCCCACCAGGTCGGAACACCTTAGAGGACATAGCGGGAGAGTTCAAAAGCCAAGGAGAAATCATATTGCTGTTGAGTACTGGTTCTCACATTATTATTATTATTACCGATATATATATTATTCTTCAAACTTAATGAACTGACTGTTGTTACGCTTTCCTATCTCCGTTTCTGTCTCTTAGTCTGAATAACTTCACTAATTATATCTATTATTATTATCTCTTTTCTCTTGTCGACTATACCGAAGGACTAACTGGCGAAAGGATCAACTCTAATCGCAGTAGTAACAGTCTTAACGTACCTCATACTACAAACCACATATAATTAATCCCAGCACTACTCCCTTTGGAATCAACCAAAGTTACGACAGTCGAGTGGCGGGACGAGCTACGCAGAAGTTTACCAAAGATCAGGAACCTATACCCTACAATCAAGAAGCGAGCACAAAGAAACCAATTTGGCTTATACTAGCTCGTAGAAACGATATTTGATATTGGAGTCATAAACCCTTGGAACTGACTCCCAGAAGAAGTGGTGTCTGCAACCTCAACTATTCGGGCAAAGTTCAACAATAGCGTCCCAAGGGATGCGAACGCGCAATGACCTTGAACCGACCAATCAGAAAATAGGAGGATTTTTGCATAAAATTTTAAGTCTATTTACACAAAAAAGCATGAAAAAACATTATAGAGAATATTTCTGTCTAATATGAGAAAGAAAATTCTCCCAGTTATATTGAAGAGTATCAGTTTTCAAATTAAACCAACTTCTATACATATATTGGTCCAGATGACTAAAAATGACTTTCTTTCGAGAGCCGTTTATAGCTCTGATTCTATTTTTTAGTCTTCCTCAGAAACCTTCGATTGAATTGGTATAGGTACCGGTTCTAGGGTCCACGAAGTCATCTGAATGGTTTACTCGATGGTGTATATATCCCAAATCCGATTATCGGTTATATCCTGGCCATTAATCCGTATGAATGGTTGTGCCTGACAACACCAGTCTTTGAATAATAGGTAATAGTGTATCCGCAGTCCTATCCGGAATGATTTCCATGAAACCTTTGCGAATCTGCGTGTCGTAAATACCAAGAACCCAAACGTTATTAGCCCTAGCACGTCCCTGGTTATACCTCATTTTTATAAGCACAGTTTCGTCGATGTGAACAACGACACCCACTCCGCCTAGCACTTGCGTGATGCTATTTATTTTCCACGACGCTAAATCTCTGCAAAACTGGAACCATTGCACAGTAGACGTTAAGTTATTGTCTGTCTGGGCTGCAGTTGATCTCACTCCGGCCTTCAAAATCCAGTCAACGAAAGTTTCGATTTTTCGAAGAAAGTTCCTAAAAGATAATCAAGTGAGAGTGTTACATACCAGTGAGAACACTTGTTCACTTCCTACACTGTGTACATCTAAATATATATCCATCAATGACCTGGGTATACGGCTGCAGTTTCATAGAAGCACCACAACTGCAAATCCGAGTATGTCCTATTAATCCATTGTCTAAGCAGTACTGAAAAACGTGCTCTGGTTGAAATTTGCATCGGAGCAGATGAACAGGCGTCATTTTCGCGCTAGAATAATGGAAAGGTTCCTCAACCAATGACTAGCATGCGTTCAAGGTCATTGAACGTTGAAGGTTTTGGGACTCTATTCTTAAGCTTCGCCCTGATTCGTTCAAGATGGGTTTGGACAACCACAGAAATCTACTAGAAAAGAATTAACATAGGCTCTAAGCCTTCTATCCTCAACCAATAAAGCTGAAATATGAATCTGACCTTCACAGCGTAGTTTGGCCTTCAAAAAGTGTGAGTTTAAAAGGGTGCATGGGATGGCTGAAATATTTTACAACGGTAGGAGAGTTGATGGTCGCAGACCTAATGAACTTAGACGAATACACTGCCAATTTGGATCGGGCAATTCTGACGGAATAGTATTTCTTCACCAGGGTAATAGCACTTTTCCGGACTGGAAATAGTACAAATGACTTACAGGGAATACAAAAGTGATCGCATCAGTAGTTGGACCTCACGCGTCGAAAACAAGTGTCGATGCAGATAATGCGACCATTACGTGCCAGTTTACGAAGCCTCCTTTCGCCTCAACTTCTGGAGAACGGCGAAAACTGTCATCAAAAGATAGGTCAGCAAATGATTTCGCAACTGCAATTGAAGTAAGATTACTTTGAAATTCTCAGGACAGTGGTGTCTCTCTTTTAAACTGAGTATTACTAAAAATTCAAATCAAGACTTACTCTAAGATTCATTTGTATACCTGTAGTAGGTCTTCGCAATTATTGTTTTCGAATATTGCTACTACTGGGGTGGTGGCAAGTTACTATCGTGTGCACATTTTTGACTTAAGCACCAACAAGTGTGTTAATAATTTGTGACGTACGTAATTTTGATTATTTTGAACCATTTCAATATCTGAATTACAATCCATTCAAATGTGCTTAAGTTCCAGCTTGTCATTCACACTTTATGTCCTTAAACTCAGTGTTCAATCTCCAAAATTTGTTCAGATTCAAGCCACACCGTTGAGTAGACAAAGTTAAAACAAGAAAAGAAAAAAATCTTTGAGGGAACTAGCGGAATGAATGTTGTTGGCACCCGTTCTGTTTTCTCCTTCGACACCCTATATCTGACAAATACATAATATGTTCAAGCAGCAGTGTGAGTTGCGAAATGTAGGTGCTTTCAATGGTGTACTCTTTTGAAAGAACGGAAAGGTATTCATTGTTTGTAAGCTCTGAATTGTGAACAGATATCATTGACACTCGTAAGTACTTGTTCAAAAAACGTTAAGGAACCAGTTGTAATGAGAATAACTTTATAAGAACCGGCCTACTGAAGAGACATTAACAAACGCTGAAGAAAGCTATTGAAAGTAATGAATGTAGATTCTATCCATTAGTATTTCTTGCTATAGCTTTTTATGCATGCACAGTAGACTAACAAGAAACAATTGTCTGTTCTCATTTGAATAAACTTGTCTCGGGGCAGTGTTCTTAACCAAACTATATAATATAAAGGTTTAACATATGCGTAGATTACGGCGTATTTCATTTAAATAAGCAATCCTCACTTACCAAAGTGTAACAATTACGCTTAGGGATCCAATGATCCGGTAGTCCGGAGAAGAGGTAAACACGATCAGCCTCGAATATAGCGCACATTCAACGGACAAGCAACTTACATCTCCAATATTAGATGATTCTCAAATAGATACAACAGAACCAGGTAGGTTCATATGCCTTGTCCACGTTGTATTTCAGAAGTTGCATTTCTTACTGGATGTTGAATTAATCACTTACATTTCGATGATGACAAACGGGAAGTTGCATTCTGTTGGTGTGGTCATCACAAATGACAGTCAAAAGCTACAAAGAAGTAATACATGGTATCCATTGCCCCAGATCATCTATACTGTGGATGTCTCCATGTGGAAATCCGGAGATACTTAGGTTCAGGAGCTCCGCTTTAATGGATGCGTAGTTTCTGGCGACAGACATTCATAAATTTCGGGAAGGTGTGATTAAATTCATAGATTTTGCTAAGAGACCTCACTCTCACCTGTAATTATCGGTTTTCATAGTAACATAAATATTTTACTCTAATATCTTTGAAATGAGCTTTGTAAATTTAAGTTATGGGCTTCTAGGTTCATTTGCTAGGGACAAAATTTATTTAAGTTTGAGGTAGTATACTAGAAGCCTAATTTAAGAAAATTGAGTTATCCAGGCCACTTTGGGACTTACTTTATTTGTCATTCCATTTTTACCGTAGCAAATACGACAAGCATATTCGCTTTTAAACTTTGCGATAATTTGTTATCTGAGTAGTAATTTTTTATTCACTTTGGTGCTCCTAACTAGTATGCTACCATTTAATATTCTGCCCACTTTTACCCTAGATTAAGATGACATCCGTTTTCTAAGCTAATGTTAATATTTAATGTCTACTTTACGTTGCTTTCGACTTCATTACGACAATTAACCTGAAATTGTCGCCCCTTCGTACACTATACTTGCCTGTCAACTGAAAAATCCTGATATTTTTACTTCATTTGACTAGAAGTGTCAATTTTTTCAAAAAATTTAGTCTTCCTCTGAACTAGGTTTTTCAGGCTAAAATAAGTACTATTCAAGGGTTTTACGGCAATTTTCTTTTATACATTGTTTATAGGAAATATTTTCATGTGCCGTAAAAACGGAGAAGTATCCTATGTCACAAATAGATATTTTCCTTGAAGTTATTCAATCCGATGGATCTGAGTTCGCTTGTGCTGTGAATGCAGCTACTCTTGCGTTAACTGATGCAGGCATTGAAATGAATTATCTTGTCAGTGCAGCCACAGTTGGTAAGTAACTGCATACTATAATTGAAATATGATTTCAATCTTCTTATGAAGTGTTTATGTTTCTTGATAAAAAATGAAGTGTAAACAGAATTACAAATGAATATCAACCAGAATGTTTAATAAGTTAATTGTGTTAGAATTGATAAATAGCTTCAAGAGCATCAATTTACTCACTTGGAAATGCTTCTCTATTGTAAGAATTTCTGTGCAAATTTTGCTCAAATTGTGGAGATTTTAGTCTCATTAGAATGAAAATTAATAGATACATTAAGCCGTTAATAAACTACCTTAAACTTTAGATTGGTTATATTAATAGCAGTTAAAAGAAAGGTTTGACCATAATATCCAAAGTCTCAAAGCTGCGTTCACTTGGTTTGTCCTGTAAACAGACGCATGCAAACCACACGGACAAAGTTTTGCATTGAAAATTCAGTTGAGTTCGGATGTTCGATTAGTCAATACGATGTACTCACGGTTATCACAGAAAGATTCTTATCGCTTATTACACACTGGGGGGATCAGCCATTCATACTAGGACTGGAACTAGATAGGAATCCAGTAAACCTAGTAAGTAAACCAACACCACTCTCTTTAAGAACCTCTGGATTTTTAATGTCGAATTGCGTTCCTTCCCTTTGTTTTAGATAAGAGCCATCTTTCACAACCTGGTCTTCAGTTGAAGAACCTAGGGCTACATCGCATTCCCAGGGTGATTTGATGATGTTGAGGCGAGACTCTAGGCCTGTTAAATCGCTCCTCTAAAATGCTGTCTCCAGCGTTGCAGTTGTTTGTTCTACGAAGCAATTAAATTCTATTACTTTTCGGATACCATTTAACTTACCCCAGGTCTATAAATTTAGATAGCGTTATTAGAAGACGGAGATTATCTGAAAAATGTGATGTATTTGCGCTATACATTTCGAACAATCTGATCACACAGTCACTTATCAAGTCAATATATATGGAAAAGTTGAATTAAACAAGGTGACAAAAAAGGATTAAGAATAATTAACACAACGTTTAGCAATCCAATCAAATAAGGATTACCAAGGTAGGTTAAGAGTAATAACAGACTGTTTTTGAATACACAGAGGGGGCTTAAGTTTATGAATAGCTATAGCCTCAGCGTATTTCGATAAGCGCCCTTGACCGTTTTTATAAATAACCCTAAAGGCTGGGTTAACACCAATCTTATGGTTCATCTCGATTAGATGTTTAGGTATAGACGAAGTTGGTAGTCTGACACCTGCATCTATTGGCCTTTCACAATTCATTTGTTATTCTAACCATTTGGGGATATGCTCTCCCACCCTCACATGCAAAGCGCGATTACTCCTGCCTATGTATGTGTCCACACACACACACACACACACACGAAGACTGGCAAATAGTGTGGGATGTGACATAATCACTTGTGCACTTTTAAGGTTTGCAGTGGAGCATACTTTTAGCTTTTTCCACAATTACAAGCTGGGCTGCATAGTAGGTTCTACGGATGATCGAATTCAACTTTTGTCTCAAAATCTTACTGTTTATTTCCCCGTTAAATGGTAATTTGATGAAAACATTTTTCTTAGGGGCGGTATAAATTGTAGGTTTAGAGACTAATTGACTTCTACACCTGTTTATAAATTTTTAAAGGATATCCGTTTTCAAAAAGAGCATCCATCAATATTTCGTTTTCTTTGTCTATGAAATCAGCCGTGCAAATCCTCTTAAATAGACACTTCATCAAGCCTCTCTTCTACTGTAATGGACACAAACTGTGAAAATTAAGGTATCACCCTTTCCAAGTGGGCTTTCTGTATATAGCCCGTCTTATTGAGCCATTATCTCCTCGATTCAGAAGTATGTCTAAAAATGCTAGCTGGTTGCGACTTTCTTCCTCGCATGTGAGACTAATATGATTACGTACAGAGTTAAGTCTGTCTAATAGACGACTCGCATCTTCATGATCATCGCATATAAAAATGATATCATCTACATATCTCTTATAGAAGGGCGATTTAGACATTTAATCAAGGGATGAGTTTTCATCATAAGACATGTAAACGTCCGCTAACAAAGGTCCTAATGGACTCCCTATAGCAATGCTATCCACTTGTCGAAAATGTTCGCCTTCAAACGTGAAATGGACGTTGTCAGTACATAATCAATTGTGAAAGGCCAATAGATGCAGGTGTCAGACTACCAACTTCGTCTATACCTAAACATCTAATCGAGATGAACCATAAGATTGGTGTTAACCCAGCCTTTAGGGTTATTTATAAAAACGGTCAAGGGCGCTTATCGAAATACGCTGAGGCTATAGCTATTCATAAACTTAAGCCCCCTCTGTGTATTCAAAAACAGTCTGTTATTACTCTTAACCTACCTTGGTAATCCTTATTTGATTGGATTGCTAAACGTTGTGTTAATTATTCTTAATCCTTTTTTGTCACCTTGTTTAATTCAACTTTTCCATATATATTGACTTGATAAGTGACTGTGTGATCAGATTGTTCGAAATGTATAGCGCAAATACATCACATTTTTCAGATAATCTCCGTCTTCTAATAACGCTATCTAAATTTATAAAAGGGGCTAATTGTTTTAAACAGGTCTATAAACTGTTCCCCTAATAAGCTTGAGTAAGTGACGAGTATGCGCGTTGGTAGTTCAGTGGTACAATGCTTATCAGCCACGCACATGGTCCATGTTTTACTCCCAGCCGCACATAATAACCTCATCCAGTCAACTGGGAAGGGGAGGTTTGGATGTGAGGCTCTACCCAGTGAAAGCCACTCACCGCTACTGAAGCTCTATGTTGCTTTCGGAATGTAATGTGTGCGTCGGTGGCACAGTGGTTAGGACTCTCGCCGACCATGCACATGGTCCGAGGTTCGATCCCCTGCTGATTCACACCTTATATTTGTGGTCGGCCTGCAAAATTCGGGCTACCGATATCACATGCAAAAATTCCTTACTTGTGCCTAAAATACGGTGTGGAATCAAGCTGTAATCAGAAATCAAATCAAAATATCACAGATTCCGGAGAAAACTAGTCAACGTGTGTTACCTCCCATTGATGCCTTTCCTATCCTCTGCTGCTCTCGTTGGCTGTAAAAACTTTTAGTCATCTCATGTTTGAGCTTTTCCTCACTTCTATCTTGGGAGTCCTTCCGTATCACTCTCGTGTCTATCAGTTCGGAGGAAACTAAAGAATTCTACTACTATTCATCCTTATCCTGCATGTTATCAAAAGCGTTTACCAACTATGATTTTACAGCTGACTAGATATAGATTTCTCCATATACCTATTTAAGCAAGTCTTTCTGTAAATAAATAAGGCACATGCAACAGCAGAACACAGTCCTATTTGGTAAAGTGTAGAAGCCTACAATTTGCAAACGTTATTAATATTTTTCTTCTTTTGTATTGCTTCACAACGATCTTCACTTCTCCTTTTCGTATCTTAATTCGTCACTGCTGCTTAAGATCATTGCATAGGTAGCGTACACCATAGATCGATCAGTCAGACTGTAAGTTACTCATTCACAGGCTTCGGGGTTGTTTTTCGGACATACGGAACTACTGTTTTCTCATAAAACAATCATAGCGTAAGTAAAATAAGGGTGACCAAACACGCACGTGAGACAATTCTGCAACGGTTTAATTGACTGAGTCTTATCACGTCTTCTGATGCTCTTAATGCATTTTTGCTTGGTGTGTCTCAACCTGACATGTAGCTCTATAGATGCTTGCCCAGTATTCCATTAAACACTGCGTGGGATTTGTCTGAACCCCCCATTATCGTTGCTACATTAAGGCGGAAATGTCTTGTTTGGTTAGCTGGTGCAATTGACGATAAGCTACACGCACGCAACTGAAGTCTTCCATCTGGTGTTTAAGCTGTATCAAGAGGAGGGTGCAGTAGTTAAGATAAGATAAAAATATTCGTAACTTGAAGTATTTCCGTACAGATTACTTATGATTTGTAGGAATTAACACAAACGTAATTTGATCCTTCAACTCTTGTTACATGAAACTTCCTCACTTTTACTGAAAGTACTAATTATGTAGTAAATTTGCATTTCACGAAGTACATTAATAGTTGCAATGTTACCGCTATTTTAAATTATGATCATGATTTGTAATGCTGCATAAAATTGTTATGTTTTTTGCTATGTGCAGGTCTATGGGGTTCGCACGTATTTGCTGACCTTTGTCGCTTCGAAGAGAATCCACGTCTGTCTCAGTTAACGGTTGTTTGCCTTCCCAATATGCAACACCGCTGTAGCCTGGACTCAGATGAAGATTCAGGTCCTGAGATTCTTCATACACGTCTTTCCTCATGGTTGCCAGTTGACAAATTGCAACCGCTTATTACGGAAGCCTTAGCAGTCGCTCAAACGCTTCATAAAGAATTTTCCTACTGGCTACGAGGTCGTGTGCGTAGTGGACTTGTCACCAGATAAATGAATTACTCAAGTGTTAAATCCGATGATTTCTATAAAACAACAAAAACTCCACGCATTTCAGATTAATTTATTCGTGAATGTGTATTTATTTTATTAATAAATGATACTTCATCAGGGCCTATCCATAAAGGATGAAGTCTCTAGAGCGTAAGGATCCATAGTGAGTACTCAATAATACGAGAGTTATATATTTATATGGGAAGTTTTGAAGGTCGGAACACAACAGTGAAGAAATGTTGTAGAAATAAACTTTACAGAAGTAGTTTATAAATTTAATAAGGTATATCCCAGTAATTCTGATGAGTGACTGAGTTTCGACACAGGACTTTACACGGAAGTGCAACAGTTCAAGTCGCTACACTCTGTGTAGCACACAAACGTAGAAAAAAGAAATTCAGAAGAACTACACTGGACAGAAATGTGTCGGATAAGGAATAGACCAACACGGTGGTTTAATGAATACGGGAGGTTACAGAAGGTGATCGTATCCGCGTAATTGATAAAGGTTTTGGGCTATATGAGCGACACTGTCTAACCAACCTCAACTAGGCGACCCACGCCTCATTATGTGGCTCAAATCACCTGTCAAAATTTTCGTATATGTCAGGTTCAGGTTTGACTCTTACTCTTTTCTAACCTGGTTTTATATCAGTTGACATTTCCCCACGTGGGAAGTGGTCGCAGCACGTGTCCTAGCTATACCAGCCGTTACAACCGCATCGATCTCCTAACCTCAATCCTGCTCATCGTAGTAATATGAAAGATCAGATGCAAACACCTCTTCCAATGGCCATGTCTCAGAGCCATTGAGTAGTTGGAGAGGTAAAAGAACAATTCCACTGAGTGTTCAAGAAGTTTCAGGAACCACACAGATGCGTAGATGTTTTTCATGTCGCTGACAACCACTTTTCATTAATTTATTGATATATGAAGCAAAAAATAACTTGTGGATGGTTAGAAAAACAGCAGTCAGGGTAAAATGTTTCCTGGAGAGAATCGTAACCTTTTACGTGATCACTTCTAGAACAAACACATGCCTTTCGTGGATAATGCTTTGACGTCCGAAACGATAGGGATACAGACTTCAAGTCTCAGTGGAAACACTACCACTCAATGAGGACACCGACGAACCCTAAATAAGACGAAACATACATCTTGGATTCCACCATTTGTTAGGTAATGCACGCAGCTGAAAAAGTAACCAACCGTATTAATCATCTATATATTTAGAGAATGTCATTTAAACTTTTACAGATATGCATATATCACGAGTAGAGTTGATAAGGGGACTCAAAACAAATCTTTAATTTTTCTTGCTACACAGAATAGGTTTCTAGTTATTCATCCCGGTAGCCTAGGTTGTTACCATGATCATCTGATGATAATGAAAAGTCATTTAATTGGGATAGAAAAAACACTTATTAGTGCTTTAAGGTTTAAAAGAAATTGTCTGTAAAAAGTATACAAAAATAAATGTGAATAAAATTCCCGCGAAACATGTTAGAAATCATCCGAATGACAGAAGTCATTGATTTCCATCATCCAAAGACCACGACATCGGAGGGATAAAGTTGCATGACTGATATTGATCCGAATTCGGAAGTTTTCTGATTGTCACGAGGTTGACAGAACCATTTGGAGCTACATGTACAGTAGCTTTTGTTGTACCTCCATGATCTGTTAAAAGGTGAAAACAACGTGAACTTGGATCCAGTCCAGAGCGTAAAGTGAGCAAAGCCGGCGTATATCTTCAGTCAACGTCATATCTACACATGATCGAAGTTGAGAGCAGGCTACAATGGCACCAGGGAACAAGGCTGACGCAAAATGTCGACACAGATTCACGAGACTTTCATGATAGCCCATAACCTTAAAGTGAAACAAAACAGCTTAAGTATGTTGGAAAACTAGTCGATATAAATAAATATAAAAGAAATTAATTGAGTTCTAGTTCGTTGTTCACTCGCAGTTCACAGCTAAGTGTCATGTTCAGATTACAGTGTGAATGAATTCATGTGTCAACAGTTTATGATTATTACAACCCGTCTGTAGAAGTATTAGTAATAGCAGTGACAGCTTTATTCCAAACAGTTACATAGGAGATGATGTCTCATTGAAAAGCATCTGATTCCAACAGCTCAACCAATTCACTACTAAGAGACCAATTGATCAAATCACAGTCACAATTAAAAAAATACTCCCCTCCTCAGACTTTTCTCACCTCTCCTCACCGATGAGCTGAGCTATCGTCCCACTACAACTACGTTTTTCGCTACCAGATTCTCGGTCGGATGGACGCTTTAAGTAAAATGGAAAGAAACCAATGGTAGTAATGCGGATGCATCTTTGTTCAGATCTTCTTATTCATTCGAAATATCCAATATACTGATTTACTTTGTTAATTATCTTACTTTGACCTGATAGCTCTGTGATATATGTCTGCTAACTCTCAAAGTGGGGACTCAACGCACGCATGTGTTTAGTTTACTTTTAACGAGAATTTTGTGGTGACGTGAGTATGGTGCGTTTAACACGAATGTAGTGAAAGGGAGTAGCGACAGACATCTGGTGATTTTCATGCAAATTTGGATCGACATAACTTCTACCAACCTGTCCAGGAATGCCATTTGGCAAACCACAGTGAATAACAGTGCAGTTGATAGGCAAATATAGCGAACTTACATGGTAGTTGAGACGTTTAATCGTACATGTTGGATAGCGTGGTTATTTAGCATTTCTTAATCATGAAATAACTTCGGCGAATGTCTAAACATAGAGCACACTGGACATGATCTATCTTAACCGTAATCTTTGAATAGTGTTCAGAATCCAATACAATAATACGTCCTATTTATTTAGGTCAAAATAGGACACAAGTTAACATTTTTCAGTTCACGTGTGGACATGATTTCTCTAATTCCATACTAGATAAGTTCATTTCGTATATCATATCAATTGATAGGATTATGAGCAATAATTTGTGCTCCAAACACCATCCAGTTATTAGTACTGCATCACTATGATATTTGATATGGAATTAAATTCTACCACAGTGTACAAGTTCTGCACTTCTATTAGTGACTTATTTAATACCATCTCTAAGGAGAGAATTCCTCATACAACATACACAGTCAACGTCGGAAGTTACGTATGGATATAAGACCTACGGGCGATCGATCTTGCATCTACTCACAAGAGACGCATCGATTGTTACAGAACCCTGCACATTGCGTTAGGAAGCTATTTTATGTCATTAGGTAGTCATCCGTCTATTATTTTACGTGGTCATTCTCTCATCCATCGCTTTTCAATCCATAAATTATACGATTTATTTATTAGATCAAAACCGATGAGGCATACGTGATCTGATAGAATCAGCACAACTCATTGCTTGGTGTATGCCTGAACTGCAGCGGAATATTAATCAGAGGTCCTCTGCCTTATACGAGTTGACTACGGACGAATGTCAAAGATTCACCGAATATATCAACTTGGTTGCAAATAAAGCAGATGAAACCTCAAGGCGAATTTCCTGACGAACCCACAAAATTTGTGTTCAATTATTCCTCAGTACGTTTAACCGACGTGCAACTGGAAGTCCTATCACTGGGCCCAAAATTCTATGATATAAATTTCAACGCCGACAAACTTCATACTCAGGTCCAGTTTGAAAATCTAATCAGCCAAACGAACGATCTCAGCCCAACTTCTGAAGTCGAATTACAGAGATTCAAGTCTACAACCATGGACTGCTGCCACCAATACTTGAATACAAAATCAAAAGCCCGCAACCACCCAACGAAGAAGCACCGAAAAGAATTAAAACAGTTAAGAGATAACAAAGATCTGCTTATAACTCGACCCGACAAGGGTGCTGGTGTAGTGCTTCTGAATCGAAGAGATTACATCGAGAAAATGAACTATATACTGTCGAATGAAGATAAATTTTCCCAACCTTCCAATGAAAGAAACAAAACGGAACAGATTGAGAAGCAGCTCACGGACGTCTTGAAGAGAATGAAGGCCAGTCAACTGATCAGTGGGGATATCTACGACCAGATCCAGCCAACAGGTTCAATAATATCAAGACTTCATGGTCTACCAAAGGTACACAAGTTTGGTCTCTCACTTTGTCCGATTCTGGATATGTCAGGTTCCCCTCACCACTCTATTGCAAAATGGCTAGCAGATATTCTGGAACCTGTAAGAAAGCAATTATGTACGCACTCGCTCTGACACCTTCCAGTTCATCGAGTGCATACAAGACATGAATGTATCTAACAAAATTATGCTGTCCTTCGGCACTGAGTCACTTTTCACCAATGTCCCACTCACAGAAACGGTCTGCTTCATATGCAGATATATAGATGACAACCACCTCGATATTGGAATACCGACGACATATTTGAAAGAAGTATTATAGAGATGCACTCTGAAAGTCCAGTTCACATTCAATGACACCATCTACAGACAAAAGGATGGTGTTGCAATGGGATCTCCGTTGGGTCCACTACCATCAGATTGCTTCGTGGCAAGCCTCGAGAGAGGTTCGCTTAAGCCGAGCATTGACAATTTGCGACTGTATAAAGGATACGTGGATGATATTTTCATTATTTGTGACAACAACAATGACCCCAATTTACTGCTGAAGACATTTAACTGTTGCCATCTAGCAATAAAATTCACTCTTGAAATGGAGAACGCGTCAAAAATCCCGTTTCTTGATGTGGAACTAACAAGGAGAGCTGATGGGAGCCTAAGAAGATCGATCCATAGAAAACCTACGTGGAATGGTCAACTAACAAGCTTCTATAGCTGGGTACCCATTCAACAAAAGCGAAATTTAATTAAATCATTCGCCACCCGCATCCAACACATCTGTAGTCCCGATATTCTGGAAACAGAATTAGATATTCTAAGAGAAATCTTCATCCAAAATGGATACCCAGTAAGATTCATCGACAAAAATATCAAACCAATAATTCGGAGAAATGAAACTTTAATTGCGCCTGAAAACAAACTCTACATGAACTTGGATTTCAAAGGAGATTTAGCAAGCGATATTCTCAAGAGAAGGATCACATCATCTCTGAGAAGAACATTCTTTGCAGCAACGCTAAGAATAGTGTTCTCCAGTACGCCCACTGATCTGCAGAAGCCTCAAGGACAAGATCCCTCATCTGGCCACTTCTATGTGCATATATCAGTTCACCTGTTGCTGTGGAGCCAGGTACATCGGTCGTTCGACGCGCGTCCTGTCCAAGAGGATTCAAGAACACTATCCAGCATGGTTGCGAAAAGCCAATAGTGGTTCAATAAGGAGTGCGATAATTGAACATTTGATTAACACTGATCATTGCATTTCAACAAATGCCTCCTTCAAAGTAATCTACAGAGTCAAGAATAACCTATCAAAGGCAATACGGTTTTGTCTTCTTTGTATCGCTGAAGCTCTGGCCATTCACATAGAAAAACCGGAGCTGTGCATACAAAAGAAGATTACTCAACCACTTCTACTCTCATGGTAACAATGTTTTGATTTGTTTTGAGTTTTTTTATTTTGATGACTTAATTTTGTTTCTTTGCCTGTTCTTTAATTGCTTATAATTCTTGTATTCACTTAGAACTCTTACGTTATTTCGTATTATCTAATTTGTTTCTATGTGCATCCTGAGTGAAACTTACTCATCAAACTATTCATATTACTACGTAGCTCCTATTTAACAACTGTTTGTGACAACTCATCACCTTTGTTACTACCCTAATTTCATTAACACCTGATTTTCTTGACCTGTTTTACCAACCTTCACCTGTTTAGTTGAAATAACCATAACCAATTGTAATTTTGTTTGACAAACTAAATGTGCACATATATACAAAACAACACATATATATTTGCGATTGTACAGCTAAGAAAATGAATTCACCGAAAAAAACTCTTCGCTGATCTATGTGTTTTGTTTTCATTAGTGCCTGGATGGGGATTATCCATGAACATTATTAATTTCCCCGTTATTTTTCTGTTGCTTTTGGTCTTTTCATACCTTGCTAATGAATTTTATAGGATAGTTATTTAAACCTAACGCCTCTTCTATTTTTTTCACTTCATCATTTAGGTCTTTTCTTGTGCTACTTAGTGTTACTGCTCGGTTTGTTAAACACTTAATCAAGCCTGCCTTTACTGACAACGGATGAGATGAATTAAAGTCTAAGTATCTTTTAGAATGAGTTGGCTTTTTATAAACGCTAGTGTGCAGTTTGCCTTCTTCTGTTCGTTTTACTTTGCAATCTAACATAGCTAATTCTCCTTGTTCATTTTCCGATTCAAATATGAATTTTATTCCCTTTACTAGTGACTTTATATGTGTCAAGAAGTTAGAGATATGTTCTGTTGTTAACACTGTGAAAGTGTCATCCATATATCTCCAAAATATTTTTGGAGTAGGATTAAATTTATTAAGAGCAGTATTTTCCCAGCTGTCCATTTATATATATATATATATATATATCTGCTACGATAGGGGATATTGGTGATCCCATTGCTACACCTTCTGTTTTTCTACATATTTTGTCCTGGAATTTAAAGATAGTAGACGTGAAGTATAGTTAAATTCTTAAAATAATTTCCTAAATGGGTGGCTTTGTTCTATGAGTAATTTCAGGATCAGTAGTTAGTTCCTTTTTAACCGCTTCTAAGGCCATATCGATTGGTATATTCGTATACAGACAGATTAGCTATATCAAAACTAAGCCTTTCTCATCATTCTCCAATTGAATATCATTTAGTCTCCTTTTCATTTCATATTAATTAGTTAGCCTAGAGTTTGAACAATTTCTAATGGGACATACTATTAGAGCTGTGTTTTGATAATTCCTAAATAGAGGGTATTTCTGAAATCTATCAATGACTATGAGTTGCATTTTAAAAAATGAGTGTTTTGTAGGTTGTGAGTGAAGTAGTTGCTTCTCCGTCGTCCTTCTAAATATTTTTGAAAAGATAATTATTTGACCTCCGATCCCTAGAGTACTATAACAACAACAACAGAGTTCTTTATGTGCGTCGGTGGCACAGTGGTTAGGGCTCTCGCCGACTATGCACATGGTCCGGGGTTCGAGCCCACGCCGACGCACACCTGATATCTATGGTTGGCCTGCGAAATTTGGGCTACCGATATCCACGCTGAAAATTCCATACTTGTACCAAAAATACGATGTGGAATCAAGCTGTAATCAAAAATTAAAAAAATAATAAAAAATAATAATAATAAATCGGTATCATAATTCTAAGACCATTCGTGTTGTCATAGGCTTTTAACCTGAGAAAAGAGATCCACGTAGAATATATAACTGGACCATTCAAATTTATTATTCACAAAATAATTGCATAAAATCACATCGAAAACAATCTTTTTTTTATGATAACTGGCTATTTTCTGTGCAGTGTAAGTCATCATTTTTTAAAGAAGACAAGTGAATATTCTCCTAGAATATCAGTAGATTTTAAGTTGCAGTCAACCGGGTGATATTTGGATGTAGATAATCCAAGTTATACGGTGCACTTTATCCTTAATCACCCTGGTAGTAAAACTTGGACTTGAAATATACACATAAAATGAAACATTCCCTCAAAATATGATGAGTGAACAATTTAACTTGTCCAGGTGAAAAAGTAAATATACTCTGATGTCACGCATTGTTATACTGCCAAATATTTCTTCCTCTGGAAGTCCTCGAAAAAGAGGCGTTGAGTTTTCATCCTCTACAGGTGAAACTGCCAGTAAATTAAACCGCAGTGTGATATACGGTGAGTACTGATTTAATATTCCCAAATCTTCAGTGTACTCCATTTGATGATGCCTGTTAAGATAAGCAATAGAGTAGTATATAAAGTGTTTTAAATATTGCATGACGATAATACCAACAACGAAACGCTACTCGTTTTTATCTCAGCACGTGAGAAGGCATTGGGAATTTCTTACGGACACTGGCTATTGTCACCAGGTACCAACTCTCCATACGCTCTTGAACGGCTGCATAGGTTAGCGTAGAGTGTCTTGATTAGTGAAGTAAGCTTTCTCGATACCCACTTCATGGTGAGACATCACCATGACTAACAAAGTCAAATCCCACGCCTTCAAATCAAGAAATGTGGTAGGTGTCAGACAGCTGTAAGTATGTCTGTATTTCAGAATTTGTTGAAGAGTAAAGATATAATCAATACATTGTTGTCTTGGCTTATAACCTGTCCGGTTTTCACAGGTTTGTTTCTCCCCGTGGCCACCTATTCTACAGCGAATTATTTAACATCACATTAATCAAGCTAATCCCTCTATGATTATCACAGGAAAATTTGTTTCCCTCACAAACTGGAACAATAAATTATTTTTTTAGCAATAAAAAGCTGGGACATCTCTGATTCCTATACACTACCTAATGTCTCAGTCAATAATTTATCACCATCATAAAAAACACTTCAGAAATTATACTATCAAGTTGTACGGCAGCCTAACATATGAAATTTCTTTTACTAATGAATATGTTCTTACTTGTTTTGTTTTTCACCGAGACTAACGTGCCCTGATATAAGTAGTGACTCGAGTGTATCTATTTGCCCAACAAGCTCCTCCTGTAAAAACGCATCTTCTTCAGCAGAAGAAGTAATAGAAGCATGCTCACATTCTTTTTGGGTTAACATTAATTCCATATGTTCTATAACCTGTACACAAAAAGATATCAGACTTGTTGATAAAAGTGACGGTGTATACATATTTTTAAAATATATGTCAAAATTATTAGTTCAAATAGTCTGCTGCTTCTACTTACTTATACTTTACTTCGGCCATCTCCTACGGGAGGATGAACCGGCTTCATGAACATCTCGAATGTTTGTAAGAAAGTTGATGAAGTTTCATGGGAATTGGGTACGAGTGATGTCCCCAGCATCGCTCGGCCTTTTGTTTGAGAGTGCAGCTCTAGCTGCTCCCGACCGAAAGCTGCTACCTTGACGTGGTGGTCGGGCTTGAACACCGCAATGACCTAATCAAGCTATACTGGCTGAGACTTATGTCTCTTGAGGTCCTTCCATGCCATAAAGGTTGTTTGGATAGCGGTTAGACAAAAAGCAGCTACCCAATCCAACACTGTGATATATAGAAACTCACAAAATATCATGCCGGATCGGTCGGGGCCCGGATTAACAACGACCGCGCTTCCTGTTGCCGTGTCACAGGGCAGGAGTGATAAGTATGCTACTGAGACACACCAAACAATAAAGAAGAAACAAAAGCAGGCCGCATGTGACCGGCCTCAAGCAGTTGTCCCTGGGCTCTGCAGTCACGCAATTACCTTCCACGGTGTGGGCAACCGAGAAGTAACGATCGCCCTCACAATCCGACATGCACACAAAACCTCCCTAATACTCACTCATCTTTGTTTTCATCTTCATCTCTATCATCTTGCCTTCCTTCCACTGATGCAACTCCTCGACTTGTTAGCTCTTCACTCTCACTCCACTCTGTGTCCACTAAAAACGACGGAAGCCAAAAAACCACCACCTATAGTCTCCTAAAGCGACGCCACCAATTTCATATAGGAGCATTTAATGTTAGGACACTGTGCCAAATAGGACCACAAGCATCACTAGCCAAGACTCTGGCATCCCGAGCCATTGATGTATGCTGAGTTTCAGAAACACGCATACAAGACCCAAGTGTGGTTATTCACCTAACCCCACCTGGCCAATAGGATGAATCTGCGAAATTCACCTTGAGGGTGTCAGGAGATACCACAGCTAGTTCACGAGGATTAGGTGGTGTAAGGATAGCTTTGAGTACTAGGGCAGAAAAGACATTGCTTGACTGGATCCCGGTAGATAGCCGAATGTGTGCTGTCTGTCTGAACGGGTCAGTAAAAAGGAGAACGGACTGCACTACTCGCCGATGCCTTTTCGTAATCTCCGCCTACGCCCCCACTGACTGCACTTCAGATGAAACGAAGGATGAGTTCTACCAAAAGCTGTCTAGTTTGGTGCGAAAGGCTAAACACTCAGACATAGTCGTTCTAGCTTGTGACTTTAATGCTCAAGTAGGGAAATTGTGTCAATCTGAAAAGGATGTCGGTGGCACCTATGGAGTTCCATGCCAGCGAACCGACAACGGTGACCGTCTCCTACAGTTCTGTTCAGATAATCATTTGTTTCTTGTATGTACTAACTTCAAACACAAGGAGAAACACTGTTTGACTTGGAGACCCCTTTCATCAAACCAAAGCTGGACACAAATAGACCACATAGCAACAAGCTATCGTTGGCGTGGGTCGGTAGGAGATTGTCGCTCCTTCTGGAACACGTGTATAGATACCGACCGCGCTCGTGTGTGCTTACGACTGAACGGACGTAGGAAACAGCTGGCGGTAAAACCAACACGTCACCAGCTCAATCAGGAAACTAAATCCCTATTTGAGGAAGAACTAGCTAAACACATATCTGTGTTCGACAGCTGTGCTCACCCTGAAGAAGCTTGGAAGAATATCCAGGCAGCCATAGATACAGTTTAAAAAGCTGTGAATAAGTTAAACCCAAAGGTGAGTAAGAACCACTAGATCTCCACCGCCTCATCCGAACTGATGGATGCTAGAAGACTTATTCCGGCGAGCTCCGAATTCAATGAGGAGCGAAAGCTGCACAAAAGGAAACTTACTAAAAGTCTCCGCAAGGACCGTGAACAGTGGTGGGTGAGAAAGGCGAAAGAGATGGAAAAAGCATTGGCGATAGGCAACACTAGGCAACTCTTTAGACTCATCACAGAATCGGGCAGGAAAAGGCAATTCATAAGTGAGACTATTTCTGAGAAAAATGGCTCCTTAATTAGCTCTCAGGATAGACGCCTTGAACACTGGAAAGAACACTTTGAGGGACAATTTAACTTGCCTACAGCCACACTGAACCTCCCCGACATCCAGCACACACCCGAATGGGATATAGACACTGGTCCGCCGTCTGTAAGTGAGGTCACAAAAGCTATCAGTAATTTGAAACGAGGCAAAGCGGCAGGACCCGACGGAATTATTTCGGAGGTGTTTAAATATAGGGGTGACATACTAGTTTGTAGATTAACTGAGGTACTAGGCAACGTCTGGGAATCAGAGACGGTTCCATCAGACTGGGGTAAGTCACTTATTATACCGGTATTCAAGAAGGGAAACAAGTCCTCATGTGATAATCATAGGGGGAACAGCCTAACGAACATAGTTTCTAAAATCCTAGACTCAGTAATCATGCATAGACTAAGCAGAACTCGGGAGGAACAGACAAGGGAAAATCAAGCAGGCTTTAGACCAGGTAGAGGGTGCATAGATCATATCTTCACTCTTCGACAGATTCCAGAACATAGACACACTATTCGGCGTTCAACAATTGTCATATTTCTTGACTTGAAGGCGGCCTTCGACTCCGTGAATCCAAAGGTACTATGGCAATGTCTGACTGTGAAGGGAGTGCCAAGAAAGTACATTGCACTAATCAAGGCACTCTATTCAAACTCCCGTAGTCGTGTAAGGGCCTATGGGGAATTGTCATCTGAATTGGTAACAACCAGTGGTGTCCGACAGGGATGTCCCCTTTCCCCATTTCTGTTTAACTTCATCATAGATACGCTAATGGAAGTATCCTTAACTGAACTTAACGACTTAAGAATCGACTTGTTACCAGGGGATAGTCTTATGGACTTAGAATATGCAGATGACATGGTCCTGTTAGGGAAGGATGCTGACAAAATGCAGAGTCTTCTGGACACCTTGAGCAACAATCTTCGTATGTTTGGCATGCGATTCGCCCCTACAAAATGTAAGATGCTGCTACAGGACTGGACTACGTCAACTCCTAGCTTAGTGATAGGGAGTGAAGTGATAGAACATGTTGACCACTTCACCTATTTGGGAAGTTGTATTAGCACCAACGGACTGATTGGCGATGAAATCTCAGCACGGATCCAAAAAGCTTGAGCTGCTTTCGCTGACTTACACCATCTCTGGCGTAGGCGTGACATCCGGCTATCAACCAAGGGACGTGTGTACTGCTCAGCAGTTCGCTCCGTCCTTCTCTATGGCTCTGAAACATGGCCAATACGAGCTGAAGACATGAAAAGGTTGACTGCTTTCGATCATAGATGTCTGCGATCTCTGTCTCACGTTAGGTGGTTTAATAAGGTAAGTAATGTTGACGTTAGGCGTAGAGTGTTGGGCAAAGAGGGAAAATCAATCGACGAGGCTATAAAGTTACTTAGGCTGAGATGGCTAGGTCACGTGCTGCGCATGACTAACCATCGCCTCCCCCGACGGGCATTACTAGCTGATATAGGTGCAGGTTGGAAAAGAGTAAGTGGTGGCCAAACAAAAACATGGCATCAATACATGAAATCCTTGACAGTTAAACTGAGTCAGGTAGGGAGATGCAAACTTCCTGGTTGGTTAGTTAGCCATTGGTTTTCCGACCCCTCAGTCTAACCTAAAACTTGACAGCGCGAGATGATAGCACACAAAACTAATATTTCGGGACTGAATTTAGATACAACATAAGTGCTGCAGCCAAAACGCCTTGAGCCCCAGCATCTTCCATTTCATCAAGTATCTTCATTGTCCTTTTTATAACATTAGAGACTGACGAACATATTGTGCTAGCTAACAAATACACTTTGGAGGACACACCATCTATTTTTACGTACCACATCATTTTATCTGTCCATTATCTATTTACCTGCCAATTTCTTTTGATTCGTATCTTTCTGTCTATTTTAGTTTTACGTGGGACAAATTCAAGAAAAATGGCATGCCGCTGTGTAGTAGATATCAAATACGTAAAAGAATAACAGCCAAGAATCTAAAGTATCACGTATTTGCAGATGATGTAATACGTGCGCCTAAATATTAGAAAATATCGGGCGAGTGTATGCCATATCCCCTATCTGAACTGGTGCCACCTGTTTCACCTTGAATGCATTTGCGCGGTTAAGTTGATGTGAGTTGAGGCTAGTCAGCCAGGCAGATGCAGTTGATGTGATTTTGATGCTCATTTGGATCTTGATGGGTGCATTTATATAAAAATTGTTGTCTAACATTGTCCCTTAGCATTGATGTATTGTTTGTGCAGAAGGACGCTTGAAAATACAAACCACATATAATTAATCCCAGCACTACTTTCGGAGTCAACCAAGGCTACGACAGCCAAGTGGCAGGACTGTTGAGTACGTAACAATGTGATTGTACACTTTTTGTTTACTTGTATAAATTCGAGATATTGTACATAATTTTTGTTTAAAACGCTTCTTGTTGAAATATACATAACTTCCGTGTACAATTGAAAAATACACTCTGCTGTTGGAGACTTCGTCTTCTCCCTGGTCACTTCTGCTTACTTGCTCCACTCACACCGTGTTGTATACTTCGGATTTATTGTAGGAGCCTACTACTCTCAACCGAAGACATTTCTACAACCGGAACACAGCAGCTACAGCAGACGCAGTCCAAACAATTAACGTGCCTGTGGATTATATAATTAATTTGTAGCCGAGGACTTACACTTTATAACCAAGTAATCCTTTTTGTTGCTATAACTCGTCACTGTATTTTTGGTAATATATTGTGATTTAACACTCCACTGACTTGGATTATTACTTTTATACTTGGAATGTTAGTGAACTCTAATATTAGTCCCCTACAAATTAATTGGTGAGCCCGATAAGAACACGGATTATTTTGGCATATTCATATTCTTATTTTTGCTATTTTGTATATTCATTGTGATTTTGTGTGTGGTTTATATTTGTATCCTAATTTGTACCAATAACCCCATATTCATAATGTCATCACCTCGGTCCGGTACATCAAATGAGCAGACAACTAATAGCGAGACAAACGCCACAATAAATGCCATCACTGATTTTCGTTTACCCCAATACGGTTTCGCAGAACCAAGGATTTGGTTTGCGGTAATTGAACCGTTGCTAGAAGCACGGGGCATTAAGTCCCAAATAGCCAAATATGGTATGGTGCTGGCAGAACTCCCTCCGTCAGTATTGACAGAAATCAGCGATTTCATCGAAGATCCTCCGACGGAACATCAATTTGATAAACTTAAAGCCCTCCTCATACAACGTACCAGTTTGTCGGATGAGAAAAGAATCCAACAATTGCTCACAGGCTGTGAACTAGGCCCACGTAAACCATCCCAGCTGCTCAGGCACATGCGCCAGTTAATCGGACATCATAAAGTAGACGAGGTAGTGCTGAAACAGATGTGGTTGCAACGTTTACCTAGAAATGTCCAGCAAATTTTAATCATCTCAGGAAAGTCGTATGACTTAGACCAACTAAGTGACATGGCAGATAGTATTATGGATGTTTTATCTGATAACACCATAAGTCACGTAGCATCTGATAGTGCCACACCGTGTCATTCCACACCCACGGCAGACACACCGATACTCGCCGCCATTGCAGACTTAGCGGCAAGGATTGACAAGTTGGAAACTAATAGGTCGGATCGACAAGTCCGGAGGCGGAGCTCACAGAGAAGGTCACCATCACGACGACGATCCTTCTCACGACAGCGTTCTTACACGTCTTCTCGGGATAGCAATATATGCTGGTATCACTGGAAGTTTGGACGTCATGCCCTGAAATGTGTAAAACCGTGCAGCTTTAGCGAAGCCAACCAGGCTCAGGGAAACGCCTCAGCCAGACAGTGATGGCGACAGCTGTTACTGGCAATCACCACAGTCGCCTTTTTTATGTGAGGGATTTGACTACCGGCACATTATTCCTGGTAGATACAGGCGCCGAGGTCAGTGTTATCCCCCCCTCACTATCCAGGCGATCAGCCAAAATACCTGGAAAACTTTCACTCCGTGCTGCCAACCAAACCAACATACAGACGTATGGCGAACAGTCAATGATTTTAAATTTGGGACTACGCCGACGTTTCACATGGATCTTCATAGTAGCTGACGTACGTCACGCTATACTAGGTGCAGACTTTCTAAGTCACTTCAATCTGTTGGTTGATATCAGCAAGAAAAAACTGGTTGACAATTGCACCCAACTCAAGATCCATGGTATTACATGCGACTACTCTGTTCATAGCATCTGCATAGAAAAGCCGGAGAGTGAAATGTTCTCTGCTTTATTGCAACGATTTCCTAAAATCCTTAAACCATCATACAATGTCGAAGATATATCTCATACAGTTACGCATAAGATCATCACAACAGGACAACCTGTGAAGGCACGTCCACGACGGTTACCACCCGATAAACTAGCAGCAGCTAAGTCGGAATTTGAACATATGATGCAGTTAGGTATCATACGACCATCTAACAGCCCATGGTCTTCACCTCTGCACATGGTACCTAAAACTAATCATGACTGGCGACCATGTGGAGATTATCGCGCTTTGAATAACGCTACGGTACCAGATCGTTATCCTATACCTCATCTCCACGACTTCTCCTTGACCTTACATGGAAAGACCATTTTTACTAAAGTTGACTTGGTGAGGGCATATCATCAAATACCAGTCGCTCCAGAAGACATTGCAAAAACAGCAATTATTACGCCTTTTGGATTATTCGAATTCTTGAGAATGCCTTTCGGACTAAAGAATGCTGCTCAAACATTTCAGCGTTTTATGGACCAAGTTACCCAAGGTCTTGATTTCGTCTTTGTATATATCGACGATGTCTTAATTGCCAGCTCATCGACGGAAGAACATATGCAACACTTAAGCTTGTTATTTCAAAGGTTTGAACAATTTGGAGTTGTTATCAATCCAAAGAAATGTATTTTTGGTTCCCCTTCCATTGAATTCTTAGGACATCGAATAACTGCCGAAGGCATCAGACCTACCGAAGATAAGATAGAAACTATTAAGAACTTTCCCGAACCTGATTCCTTAAAGAAACTTAGACGTTTTCTCGGGATGTTCAACTTCTACCGACGTTTTATTCCATCATGTGCCTCCATAGTTCAGCCACTGACCGACCTACTTAGATGCAATTCGAAGAAATTTCAGTGGTCTGAAGAAGCAAAAGCAGCATTTAATAATGCAAAAGATGCCTTATCCAACGTCGTAATGTTATCTCACATCAACCCAGAAGCTTCACTCATTTTATGTACAGATGCATCACAGGTAGCAGTGGGAGCAGTTTTACAACAAAAGTTCAATAATGACATCACTCCACTTGCTTTCTTCTCCAAGAAATTGGAACCTGCGCAAACTCGTTACAGTACCTTTGGCAGAGAACTGTTAGCCATCTACCTAGCAGTGAAACATTTCAGCTTCTTACTACAAGGTCGACATTTTACTATCTTAACCGACCATAAGCCTCTTTGTTATGCTTTCACCACTTCGTTGGACAGACACTCTCCGAGAGAAGCCAGACAACTGGATTACATCTCACAATTCTCAACAGACATCCAGTTCATCAAAGGAGATTCCAATATCGTAGCCGATTCCTTGTCTCGATGTGACGTTAATCATCTATCTTCGATAGATATTAGCCTAGACAATATTGCCAAGCTGCAGAAAAATGACGCCGAACTCCATACTTGTAGACGAAACTCCTCCCTACAGTTGCAGGATGTACCTATTCCCCTGTCTGATACAACTATCGTCTGCGACGTTTCAACGGGCGTTCATAGACCTTTTGTTCCACTAAGTTGTCGAAAAGCATTGTTCGAACATTTACATTCGCTTTCTCACCCTGGAGTACGCGCCACGGTCAGACTGATCAGCGAACGCTTCGTGTGGCCTAAAATGAACTCTGACATTCGGAGATGGGCACGAGAATGTATCCAATGCCAATGCTCCAAAGTACACCGCCACACTATTACAACCCCGAAGACGTTTAAATTACCCGAAAGGAGATTTCAGCATATCCATATAGATATCGTGGGACCATTGCCAACATCAAGGGGATATACACATATCCTGACAGCGATTGATAGATTTACTCGTTGGGCTATTGCATGCCCCTTAAACGACATATCTGCTGAAAACGTTGCTTTAGTTTTTCTCGACCGTTGGGTGTCAAACTACGGTGTACCAACTACTATTACATCCGACCGCGGTCCTCAATTCCAATCGACACTCTTTCGCGAACTGACGAGACTTCTGGGAGTGAAACATATCTCCACAACAGCCTATCATCCGGCAGCGAATGGTCTAGTGGAAAGATTCCACAGACAACTGAAAAGCTCCCTGATGGCGCAGAATGATACATCTAAGTGGAGTGAATACTTACCTTTGATTTTACTTGGTATCCGTTCTACTATCAAAGAAGATTTAGGATGTACACCGGCTCAACTTGTCTATGGCACCAACCTAACCTTGCCTGGACAGCTAGTCCCCTCAGCCGATTCCACAGACGTGAACATTGCCGACTTCACTAACCGATTAACTAGACAAATGCTTCAACTTCAACCAACAGCACCTCGACAATCTCCCCGAAGAGATCAGATCAACAAACATCTACAAACTTGCAAATTCGTCTTCATTCGAGTCGACGCCATCAGAAAAGGATTGCAACCTCCATACGAAGGACCCTTTCAAGTTATTAAACGTTCAGACAAACACTTTACAGTGAACAAGAATGGAAGACGAGAGACTGTTTCAATTGATCGAATCAAACCCGCATACACCGACAACGACTTCGAATCTACATCGGCAGCTGCGCAATCAAATAATCAAACATCCGAATCCCCTCCACCGGCACCAAGTCTTATCCTCCCTCCATATCAAACACGTAGTGGTCGGCAAATCAGTAAACCGGCTCGCTACGTTCATTTTGAGGACTAACAAAAGAAAAATAATTAAAAATTATTATTATCTTTTTCGTTTAGACATTATCATCATGACGGTTAGTATTTCGTCGTAAACTTTGATGTTACTATCACTATTATTTATTTATATGTACCTCACCGAAAAAACAGGTAGTGTCCTTTCCAAAAACTATTGATCTTTAATCCATATTTTTTTTAATGTTTCTTTCCCCTCCTTAATTACTGTGTATTTACATATTTTTCTTTATACATTAAAAATCTATGTTCATGGTTAGTGCAAATTTAAGTGACATGACTTTCTCTTTCAATTTTTATTGCTGAACCAATTGTATATGCTTTCAGACTTTACATGACTCACATACCTTCTCGCGTTTATGCATGTTGTAATATATCCCTATTTTTATCCAAAAGTTGCTATTACTATTATTATTTACTTCATAGTTTTACTTATCATTTTCCGGTTGTCTCTCCGGACCTCTAGGGGGGGAGCCGTGTTGAGTACGTAACAATGTGATTGTACACTTTTTGGTTACTTGTATAAATTCGAGATATTGTACATAATTTTTGTTTAAAACGCTTCTTGTTGAAATATACATAACTTCCGTGTACAATTGAAAAATACACTCTGCTGTTGGAGACTTCGTCTTCTCCCTGGTCACTTCTGCTTACTTGCTCCACTCACACCGTGTTGTATACTTCGGATTTATTGTAGGAGCCTACTACTTTCAACCGAAGACATTTCTACAACCGGAACACAGCAGCTACAGCAGACGCAGTCCAAACAGTTAACGTGCCTGTGGATTATATAATTAATTTGTAGCCGAGGACTTACACTTTATAACCAAGTAATCCTTTTTGTTGCTATAACTCGTCACTGTATTTTTGGTAATATATTGTGATTTAACACTCCACTGACTTGGATTATTACTTTTATACTTGGAATGTTAGTGAACTCTAATATTAGTCCCCTACAGGACGAGCCACCCAGAAGATCTGGAAAATGTACCTCACGATCTAGAAGCGAACACAAAGAAACCAAATTGGTTTATACTAGCTCTTAAAAACGATATTGGATGGTCGATACAATTACTATTATTATTATATCCTTTAATTCCTAGAGGAAAATAGGGCTTCAACCGCGCGTCTCCACTGCCTTCGGTTGTCTGTCGACTTTTTCACCCTGCTCCAAGTCTGCCCACATGCTTTCACCTCCTCCAAGTCATCCTTGCACTGACGACCAACTCCCCGCTTCCCTTTCGGGTTCCACTGGAGCAATGGCTTGTCTAGTAATGTCACTTGATGGTCTACTCAGTGTATGGCCAGCCAATCCATCTCTATTTCTTCCTACCTATTTGTTTCACAATCGGTTCCTGGTTGGTTCGCTCCCAGAGATCTCTGTTGCTGATCTTTTCTGGCTATGTGATATTGAGCGTTGAGCGAAGACAGCTGTTAATGAAGGTCTGATGTTTGTTTGAGATGCTCTTTATGACTCGCCAAGTCTCTGATCCGTATAGTAGCACTGACTGACTTCACGTTGGAGTTGAAAATCCTGGTCTTACCTACTGAATTCAGGAAAATCAATGGCGATAGTAGACAGCCTTGCCTCACTCGCGTCCTCACTTTGAAGGATTTCGTAAGTTTCCCGTTGTGGATTACTTGGCATGCAGCATTGTCGTATAACTGTTGGACGAGATGTACTATTGTCGATGGGACCCCGTAGTAGCGAAGTAGCCGCCAAATCACCTCTCGATCGACGCTGTCGAAGGCCTTTTCAAAGTCGATGAAGTTGAGATAAAGGGGTGACTGCCATTCCAAACTTTGTTTAGTGATGATCCGTAGAGTGGCGATTTGATCAATACATGACTTGTTTCTCCTGAATCCAGCTTGTTTCGGTCGAAGTTTTCCATCCAGGGCTTCTCTGATTCCCTCCAGGATGATGCGGCTTAGTAATTTACTTGGGATAGACGGGAGCATAATTCCGCGCCAGTTTTTGCATTGACTTAGGTCTCCTTTCTTTGATAGTTTGAATAAGTATCCTTTCTTCCAATCTTCGGGTACTTTGCCCTCTTTCCACACCCCAAGTAATGGCGTCATCAAGTCCGCTGTTGTCTCTGGGTCCATTTTCAGTTCTTCTGCTAGGATTCAATCTGGTCCTACTGCATTTCCAGCTTTTAGCATCTTGATTGCATTCAGGACTTCTGATTTCGTCGGGGGGTCGATGTTAACTGGTAATCCTACTTCCGTTGTTGGTATTGTTGGGCGCGTTGTAATTGGCGGTCGATTTAGAAGTCCTTTGAAGTGTTCGGCCTAGTGTTTTCTTTGCTTCACCTCTTTGGTGATTGACTTTCCATTGTCATCCCTTACTGGCTTAATCTGTGTCGAAATTTTTCCCGATAGGTGCCTAGTTGTTTGGTAGAGTGTGGCGAGGTCTGTATCGCGGTACGTCCAACGTTTGCGTTACATTTTTACGTGATTCGTTACATAAAATTTATCTTGTTTTAGTACTTGCACAAGTACTATACCACTTCCATACTTGTAACCACTAACTCATTTCTAATAGTTATGGTTAATCAAAGTAAAAAGCAACGAACCCAATCCCCTGTAAAACTGGTGTCTAATTTAACGTCCTTGATTGCTACATCAAGCAACACACCCCCAACAAACGGCTATAGTGAGTCACATAACTCACGTGTATGCCGTAAGCGTCGAGCTGAAACTGAGGATAAAACTGTACTGACAGCCAGTATTAGCACTACTCCTAAAAATTCGGTACCCTCTGCTCATACAGAACTCCTCCCTTCACCTTATGTGCTTATGGAGAAACTCCAGCCATCAAGCTCTTTTTCAGTACTATCTTCAGAAATAGAACTTCTAAAGTTGTCTATAGGAGAACTTAAGGCTGAGTTAAGGGAAATAAAAAACAGTAAGTCAGTAAATGCTGGAAACATCGAAACCAATACCGAGATATCCAAATTATCAGATCAGATCAGCGATATCAGATCGCAGGTCTGTGAACTGACACCTCTAACTATCCTCATGAAAACGGTAAACCTTAACAAGCTTGACACAGAATCGGTAACTAAGGTAGATAACCTCATTAATTTTGTTACCACAGAAGTAACAAAACGACTCGACGCAAAACTGAGTGCTATTGTCTACAACGTTCCGGACAATGAGGCACTAAAAAAGGTACAGCGCATCTTACTTAGTGAAGCGAAAATGCCTAACTCCAAGACTAAGTGCTATAGGCTGAAGAAGAGTCAACATGAAAAGTGTTGTCCTATTCGTTTTCAGTTCGAAACACCGGCAGAGACCAGAAAATTCATCCACTCCCAACACACCCTATCGCAAGCCAGAAACTACAAACATATAAAGGTCGGGGTGGACAAAACAGTATAGAAAGGCGCGCATACAACTATCTCGCTAAGACTAATTGTGAAATAGGTAATAGGACATTGCAAGCAGCCATTATTCCCAACCCTGTGAAAGATACAGTAGACCCCACCGCATCACCCCTCTCAAAACACACAGAAATATCCCATCAGAGTGCAACACCAGCCGAAAGGCCACTAGACTGTAACCAAATAAATAATAAAACCATACCACCTATCACCGCAGAATCTAAAATGCCACTAAATAACCCCAGAAAAAAAGTCAAAACCCCCCGAAATTCGACTTTGTCCTCTCCTAGCCATAATTCCATTGGTAAAGATAAGGAAAATATGCCCCTAAATCATACCAACAAAAACAGTGGCAGCTTAAATAAGCCCACACTCCCCACGGTCAATAGTATTAGCACTCACAACGTGCTAAATCGCACCGTGGCACACACTAATATCCAATGTCACAACAATGTCACCCTAAATAGTACAAGTGGTAATAGTCAGAACTCGGCTACCAACAACTCAGGGTCTTCAGAGTATGGCACACAAACAAATTTCGACCGGATATATGGTACAAGTCTGCTGGGAACTAACCCAAATGCAGTACACACGAAACCCACACAAGGACACAACTAGCATCAAACAATAGGTGGAATAATAAGCCATGGTCATCACAAGGATCCAATCATTTTTTATCCCCCGCGTCCCTGTCAGCGTTGAAAAAACAGCTGGTAGGGATGTTAACACTCCTAAACCACTAGTGCTGGCTCCCTCCTTGCATGAAAACAGGAACGGTCTAGTGCACCCGTATCCATTGGACACACTTGACACTTGCACAAGTATAGGTCAAATAAAGAACCCTACCCACTTCTGTAACCTAACTAAAAATAAAAGTTCCTTAGTCTATAGCAAATCCAGTACTCCAACTCCTAATTCTCCACCGAAAACAGCACACAACAACTCGATAGACATAGGTGAGCATGATGCTGGAACTCCTCTTAACATAGGATCGTCATGTCCAGCAGAACTACTGGGTGCTGAACCATATTCGGGGCTGACTAACGAACTTAAATACTTCAAATGCTACTTCAACTCTCATCTTTACGTAATCCTCATAAATGCTAGATCTGTTCTAAATAAATTGCCGATGCTCAGAGCACTCACAGTAATATACAAACCCCCTGTAATTGTCATCACTGAATCTTGGTGTCATTCGAACATCCTGGATGAAGAAATAAGCTTAGATAACTACACACACTTTCGGTGTGACAGGGAAGGTGGTAAGGGAGGGGGTTGTCTCATGTACTTTCTGAATGCACTTACTGTATCACAGCTAGAAAGTAGTACACTTAACATGCCTGAGACTCTATGGGTTAATGTACACTTAAATAACGTAACAGCATTAATTGGATGCACCTACAGAGCACCTGGCACCTTTAGTAATTACGAGACCCAACTTATTAATACTCTGGAGCAATTATCCGACTTACAATACGACCATAAGATCCTATGTGGGGACTTTAACTTACCTGAAATCAACTGGGATATACCCACAGGCCCAACTAAATTTGATAAGTTCTTAGGCACACTGGATATACTTGGCTGGAAACAAACTGTCACTACTCCCACAAGAGGTAACAACGTACTAGACTTAATCTTCTGCCACAATATAAGCCCCCTTTCAACGCTAGTAGGTTCTGAGTTTCCAGGGAGCGACCACAAAACAGTGATGTGTGCACTGCCAATTCCGCTGAGTAGCAATGCATCTCATACCTCCACTTCACAACAAGTAATATATAGGAACTATAGTAAGGCAAACTGGGCCTTAGTTGAATCGATGCTAAGATCCTCCAAATGGGATGAATACTTCACTACTGATGACCTATCGAGAGCCCTAACCATCTTCTACCATAACTCTAACACATGCTTAGATGCTGTCATTCCACTCCAAACACTAAAGGTTTCCCCACACAGAAAGTCATTCATAAAACCAAAGG